GTCTACTCCATAGACTGCATTTGCGATAGCCAAGCCATTCGGCGATGGCGACAGCGATTTGCAGGGTCTTTTCTAGCGGTAGTGCGGGCTTTCTGTAGTGCTACGGGGCTCTTGGAACGAATGTACTGTGTAATGTCAAGTAAGGCCGAGAAGAGTGAGAGAATCTAGGTCGGATTAGGCAAGAGGAAGCACCGAGAGGAAGAAGAGGAAGTGGAGTGAATCGGCGGGTATTCCCATCAAGAGTCCCCTACCAGTTTCGCCATCTTGGATACCCATGCCGCAAGCCGAAAATCATTGACAGAAAGCTGGGGCGCGGGAGATAGGCCTGAAGGGGTTTGGCGATTGCTCGGAAGGGGATCGAGGGGTGTGAATCGTGATAGCAGGAATGAAGAGAGAAGCTTGGAAGTCGAGGTGACAATCCGGAGGTCAATGGGACCAGGAGCCGGGATTCGGCCCACAGATGCAAACCGGGCAGGAATGGGAAAATGGAAGGAAAGAAGCCATTGCCTCCCTCTGGGCGCATCAATGATCGGGGCAGTCACCACCTCACCGGCTCACCCTCAGGCCAGGACCCGCCCTGGCCCGCTTGGGGAGCATCTTTCGATGTTTCCCCACAGATAAGGTCAGACCCGTCCGGCGTCAGAGGAGGCTCCCAGATCCTGCCGCGCCTGCTACCTCTTCCAACAGCTGCACCTTCCCCCCATCCTCCACACGCCCCTCCCCTTGTCAATCCCGTCGTGCCTTCCTCCCCCCTCCATGTCTCCCCCTCTGCTCCCTGCTTTCCCCAGCCCATTCCCCCAGAACGGACCGGGGCTGCCGTAAAAAGACGGTACCACAGGCCTGGCGCCTTTCGCCGTTGCTGATTGACGGAAATTGCCCTCCGTTTCTCCTGATTCGGCTTCCACCGAACCACCGCGGTATCGCCAGTCTCCAGACCGAGGAGATATTCGGGAGCTCCTTGCCTATCTCTGCTCATTCATCAAGGGCCCATAGCCTCATGGAAGGCTCTCCCCCACCTGATTCGGATTGCCCAAAGCGGAAACACAGTCCAGCCATGGTGTTTCTCTGGGGTCCGGGCCTCGACGTTGCATCGTCTTCTTCTCGACTCCATTCAGGGTCTCAACACTCTCGCCACCAATCCCTACTGTGTAGATATCCGGCGACGGAATCATGCACGCACGGGAAGCAAGCAAACCGCCCCTGAGCACAATGAAACACAAACTGCTTGTGCATCTCGGCAGCCTTGACGGCCTGCAAGGGGTTGAATCTGAGAATGCCAGAAATCGACTATTCGGATACTGTTCCGCTTCTCCCCCCGTGTCTCGCCATTTCATCTATTCCTGGCCTCTCGTCTGTCACGGTCTGTGTCCCTTCTAACTTTGTTCTCGATCAAGAATCAGTCCCCATCTCCCTACAGGCTACGTACACCAAAGCACACTTTTCTCAATCCTTCTCAGCCGGCATCGAACCAACTCTTCGTCCCGCTTCTCCGCTCGCTGCACATTTACCCGCCTACCACGTTTGGCTGAGAGAACTAGCACCCAATTGTTCGTACACTACCGAGTACCAGCACCTCGTCGCATGAGGCTTGTCAATGGTATCGCCGGGGTAATTAGAACCTGGCTCGCGCGACTGAGCAGGATGCGGGGGGGTTCCTTGGCCTGGAACGGCCGATTTGCCCTTTGCTTTGCCAAAGTTTAGATACAGCGGCCGCCAATCCGAGGACCAAACCACCTCAACGCGCCGCCTGTCACTACCCGTTGCCAAACTGGCGCTCCAATCACATCGTCTCCTGCTGGCTCCCCATATCTACAGGTTGAGCTGCCTAGTGTCTGATGTCAGCAACTCTTCGAGACATGGCCAATTGATGCGTCGCAACAACCAACTCCTTGTTGCATAGCTCTTATCTGGGGGGTTCTGAATGACTGATGACGATAGACAGGAGACCTCTTGCGTCAACTCCCCATGGCGGAGGATTACGTCCCTTGGCCCAACGACGCCTGGACAGCTGATATGCGCAGACCACACATCCTCCAAGGTGTCTCAATGGGGGTCTTAAGTCTTCGGACCCGTGGTCCGTCTCGGAGGATCAACCCTCCGCTACGTTCTCGTTGGAGAGACCATTCCGCGACCTTCAACGCTTGCTTTACACCATGGTAGTGCTTGGCCGTCGCTGGCTGTCGTTATCTGCAACCGCCTTGGCCAACGGTGAAATATTCGCCATAGTCCTAGTCGCTAATTAGGCGTCAAACCTAGAATCGTCAAAAGACTATGCGTTGCGCCAAACTGGCATCATTAGGGACTTCAGAAAGTTGTCAAATCCCCGATTCCCCAGACGTTTCTTGGGCAATCAATCTCAAACATGCCACGACTCTCCCCCACACTCAGCTAGGCAATTTGCACCTCGCCCGCAGGATTGAAGTTATTGAGCAGGTTGGAATCCACGATGGGGTATGCTGATCTATCAATCTTGCGGCAGCAACACAACGCCAAAACAATAGGCAATGGGCTCTAGGGCGTTGGATGATATTTTGAGTGTGCGAGTGATAACTTGACATATCTACGGAAAACCGGTACACTTCAGAGCACAAAAGTGCCAGTTCATCCTGCCGATCCGTCGCACCATAACTTCAGCCGGAGCGTGCGTCTACTTCGAGCTCCCGAAGCACAGCGGATGCATGGTGCCCGAGAGAGATGCCGAGATACAACCCGATTTTGCGTTGTCAATAGTCATGGCGTGCTGATAGACTCGTAGCTACGCCAACAGCGGGAAAAAGTCATCATACTAACCAGTCACGGCTGGTCGGACAGGGAAACAGGTCCGACAAATTACTAGATGAAGCGGGAGTTGCGGGCGAAACCTTCACCAAGGCACCGTGGCACCAAGCATCCCAAGTCCCAAAGACTATCCGTACGCTTGTTTGGTGCGAGGATATCAACTATGTTGGTTTCCAATCCCGCGGATTGACGGCACGGATATTGATCGGATGGGACGGGACAGGCTTCAGCTTCGCCTCAATCCAGGGATGGTCCTGATTTTACTGTCAGCCTGTCATCGGCATACCGAAGCCCTGGCTCGCTGACACACAGCGGGAGAGTCTGATTGACACGGGGCATGCTGGCCTGTCAGCAAACAGGGCCGAGGCCACGGTACGAAACTACGGTTAAGCCTGTGGGAGAGGCCAAGAGGACAAGAGCTGGGCGTACGGATACATATGATATTCTTCAGAGAAGTCTTGACTCCGTGTTATCCTCTGGGATAACTTGGATGGGGCGGCTGCGTCATTGAAGAGATCCATGAATGGATCTGGTTGCTTATCGCTCATTCTGGCGCAAGATTCCGGCTGTCCCAACAAGGTTGCATGAGAGCACGCCTTTTCCCCCACAACTCCATAAAACGACGTCAAAACGCGCTTTAGATACCGGGGTAAATTTCGTGGGGCATCTCGTGGGGGGCTCACACAAACCCGACACACCAGCCTGCCCGCGCCGCTTGAAGAGGGTGTGGTGTGCCATACGATGATGGCTAATGCCGAAGAAAGCGAGATGAGGCCCAGCCACGTCCTTCGGAGTTACGATAAGAACAACTTCGGGCGCAATCGGAATGTAGTCTTCAGCAACCCCCGAAAACCGGAGAGAGCACGGCGTTTGCTTGCGGGAACAGGCGTGAGCGGCGCCTACATCACTAGCGATGACATATCGAAGTAAAGAGGGAACCAAGTCATGCGCTCCTTGGAGGTCATCGGACAGGCGCAGCATCTCCTATCTTCTTTGCTTCGTTTACACGCCTCATCGACGAGATTCGAACCAGATCCCCCCACACTTTGGTCAGCCTGGCTTGCGTCTCCCTGCAACCGCGACAAATTGCGACACCCTCTTCTCATAACCCGGGAGGCTTTGCCAAGTTAAGAACCAGACAACTTCCCATCTCAGCTGGCCTTCTTGTCCAGGAAGTTAGCGCATGTGGTCTGTTGGAAGCGCAGATTAGCGCCATCACACCATAACCCCAGTCCTTGGTTCAGCGTCAGGCGGAACGATCAAGAGGAAAGAGTATCTGTCCTTTTGTCTAAGCGCCCCGCGAGGGTGTCTCAACTCCGAGATCATGTTTCGACGAGCTCATCGAGCAAAGGACCTGGCTCCTGAAGTCAAACAAACAGATACCGGTGTACCACCGAGCAGTGCTCACTCTCTTTGACTTTCTCATCCTTCTCGGGGGCGCAATATGAGCGTCGGGCCGTCACTTAGAAAGCAAACTATCTAGCCAGCATTGTCACAAGCCAAGCAACCCAGGTTTATTCCCAACGACTGGACACATCTCATTTACTCGATTGTTCAAATGTCAGCATTCACCTGGATATCCGCGTCATGTCTCGTCTCTTCTCTCCCGCACCAGCCAATCTTCCGCCCTTCCCCGGGAGCATTGGCCGCTTGAACTTACACGGCAGGCGACAGTGCACAATCCTTTGAAGGGCGGCCTCGCCCGCATGCGCTGTCTCGAAAAGCAATTCCATCTCAGGGCTCTTCGAATCGGAACGCCTTCCAAGTAGGCCAAAGACGCCATGCCGCTCTCCCCCAGACTCCCCCGGTCTCCACTTCTCTTGCAACTTGCTTCGTGGCTTTGGCGATCGATTTTTCAGAAATCACCACGCCCATTCTCATAGGCTGTACGTACCGTATAGTCTATCCTCTCACCCTCTGTGGGAGAAGCCTGCATCTACCACACCATCTCGTGTGCCAGTGTGTGTCCAGTTCGACCTATCGCTTCATAATGTTATGGCGGTGAGGAAATAGGCAGGTAAACCACGCATGCGTGGCCTTGATTTTCTGTTTAGAGAAACAGGCACAGACAAGAGTCGTGCGCATCGAGGCAGCCATTTGGAGGCGCTCAGAAGAGACACAACAGAAACGCGTTGCCTTGGATAGGTTTCCAGTAGCTGATACCGAAGATAACACCATTGAGTTGCAGCGGACGGACTACCGCTATTGCGGCCCTCATCGCAATGCCGCCCTGCGCTCGGTGGACGCCTCCTCGAGGCCGCTCTACAGGACACATCGCGACGGCTAAACGCCAACGTTGCACCGCGTCCGAAACCATACTTACAGGACTGCTTTACGGCGTCGGAAGTGGTGATGCGCCAGGACTTGCGAATAAGGACTGGTATGCCAATACCCGGTGAGCAAGCCATGGCTGACGCTCTCACATGTGACGAGTCTTCTCGTAAATGCGACCTACACAGTACCCCCGACCTGGCTCAAAGATTCTAGCTGGCGAGGTGGTTCGCGCGCCGCCTCAGCTGCGACAGGGAGAAAGGACTGGCAGTTTGCATGTGCCTTGACTCACTCGTGAATCCGACAACAAGTGGGCGGCATTCAACGATTCAGCCCAAAAGCTTGGGGTATGATAATCAGGCCGGAGTTGTCATCGTGCGAGGAAGGGGACGGCAAGGAACCGCAACGCAATCTGGCAGTCCGACTTGTGCAAGAAACCTTGTTTGGTGGCTTTTGCTGCTGCTGCTGCTCTCGGCGCACAAACCAAAGAAGCTGAATTTCGATGAGTCGGAAGAGTTTACGAGTTGCGTTCCTGGCCCAACAGCATCTCGCCACCCAACTACCGAGCCCACCACCCCTTGGTGGCCGAAAATGGGATACGGCAAGGGCAAAAAGCAACCATCCCCAGAAAGCTAACCCACACCATCCCCCCCCCCCCCCCGCCATAGTACGGGGAAAATGACAGTGACATTTCCTGAGTCATCATTCACCGACCTCCGTTTGAAACTGGGGAACACTCAGGGAATTTTTGAATGTCACTGTCTTGGCCGCGCCCCCTTTTGGCCCCTCCGTTGCACAAAACAGCATCCGCAGGCTCCGGATGATGCTATTCTTGGCCGACAACATTTTGCTTGTGTCGTCGCAATGATCTGATATACACAGGGCGCTAGTCGGGGAGGGGGGAGGAAAAAAAAAAAAAAAAACTCCATCCTTCCGGCCACGAAGATCCTATGGAGTTGTCAAACGATTTTCTTCTGGCTTTTCTTCTTTCCCCACGGAAACGAGGCAAAGTGTCAGAGTTGGTGCCAACGCAACGCCTTCATGCCAGGGACAGTGGGGCCGGGTGTGATATCATCCCCCAGAGAAATACGTAATGCCGTCCGTTCCAGACCTTTTTTCACTCTCCTGAATCCCTGGCGAGGAGGGACAGAATGGTAGGGAAGAGAGCTCGAGAGCCGGAGGAGGGGTGCGGCATGAGAAAGGGTTGTTGACTTTTGCTGGAGGGGTCCTTGGGCCTCCAGGGGAACTGACTCTTGCACCTGCCCCGAAACTCCACACCAGCGCATCATTCCATCAGGTTTATCGAAATGTTCGTGCAAGTTGGCATGGGGGGGGATTTGGCCGAGATATGGCACGACACAAGCAGAGAAAGTGGTTCTTGCTTCCTACCCTTTTCCCTTCCTTCCAACCCATCTTGACGTAGGTGACTGGCAGGATGGGGTCTCGCGTGCCCCGTTCTCTCAAGTCAAGTCACGTCTTGGTCGAGATTTCTATAACGCCCCCATATTGCCCTATCTTTTTAATCTCCACGGGTCTCGGTCGATCAGGATCTACTAGCGTTCATGAGTCGGGGGGAAAGGCGGACCACCTAGGCATTGTCACTATTGATGACGATGTCGAACGATTGAGCAGTACAATCCTATTCTTTTTTCTTTTTCTTTTTTTTTTGCTCAGAGTCCGGGGAAACCGCGCGCTTGGAGTGAATCCGGCAGGCAAATTGATGGGAAAATGCTGGATGCAGCCAGCCTGCAGGTTAACAAACTGCAGATTGCGGATACGATTTGATCAATGTATCCGTGTCTATCCGCTTCAAAGTGACAAGCCCCCCGTTCAGTGCAGACGACGATCCAAAGGGGTAGGTAGGTATGGAAAGTTGACTGGTGTCTCCTACCTCGACGGGGGCGTGAGTATGCATGTGTCAGTTAACCGCCCAAGAGCCCACCAACCCCAGCCATGGAACGACATGGTGCCAAGGAAAATGGGTGAAAGATAGGGCCTGAATGGGACAAATAACACCAACTAAAACATTGGGAAAAATACAAATCCCCTATAGTTTTTTCTTGTGTTCTTACGAATGGAGTTGGAAAGCTGGGGCTGGAATCGGAGATGGGGCTGGGGGCTGGAAGATCCCATCTGTGCCTTGGTTTTTTTTTTTTATGAAGGGTTCTGCCTCACAGGGCTTAATGTTGGTTGGCAAGGGCGGGGGGGGGGTGGGGAGGGGGGGGGGGGGGGGGGGGGGGGGGGGAGAGGTGAGGGTGTTTTTTTTTTTTTGGTTGAGGAGGGTGTGGGCGGGAGGGGGGGTGGTGGGGGTGGGGGGGGGGGGGGGGGGGGGGGGAGTGAGTATCCGTACGTAAAGTTGTTACCTGTTTACGCCATCTATACTTCACTTTAGGTCAGGTAATGACAAGTTTGACAAAAGAACAGAAAGTTGTGTTGTTTGCGTTGGCCCCCTCGATGACACCCACCCGCGCATACCCGCGCAGAGATACAGGCACGTACGCAACACCCTGGGGAAACAAACACAACCAAGTCCTGCGGAATAGGCGGGATCAAGATTAAATAGTATTCAGATTTAGTACCCGAACTTCCTGCCTTGTGAAAAGGGTGTGAGTGTACCGAAAGCTGTACTTGAATAAACCAGAAGAAAGGGGGAGGTTATTCCCCCCCCCCCCCCCATCGTTTCTTTGCAACTCGCCTGTCTCACGCAGTTGCTGTTCAAAGTCTAGCCGAGAGAAAATTCCCATCAAAAGTGTTCCACAAACTCCGGTGGGGAAGGCATGTAGAAGTACGGATCTGGGCAAACAAAAAGATCTTGAGAGGAGTTGAGAGAGAGGGAGAGAGGGTTTTGGTTTGTCTTTTTTTTTCCATTCCCCTAGAACCTTGCCGCCAGTTTGAGGTAACCTTGGTCAAAAGAGCGCCTCATCTTCCCCAGAAATAATTCCCCAGTCCGCCACCGTAACCCCAGAAAAAAAACCTTTGAATTATCCCCCCCAAAAGGGTCGAATCTCTTGTGTGGCTGGCCCCTCCGATTATTCGACGTATCATTCTCGTGGTTTGGCAGCTGTTTGTGGGGGAAAAGACGATGCTTAGCGACTTTGACTCTGAACTTGCCCATTTCTGTAAAGTCCCGTCTGGGGCAAAGTTGCGCAGATTAAGTACGGCGTCATACCCCTTAGCACCTACCTTACCTCTAAAGTGTGTGGGGTGGGGGGGGGGGGCCCGGGGGGAAAAGTAAGAGCGGGATGGGATGGTGGAGGGAAAACGCCCGCGCAGCAGCCCGCGAACCCCGGACACCACCAAAAACCGTCCACCACACCCTCCCTTTCCCCCCCCTTTCCAACCCATCATAAGGAAAAGAGAGAGAGAGAGAGAGAGGGAAACAAACGGCCGCCTGGGCACGGGTTCCGATCATCGGTGGTGGTGGGTGTTTCTTGGTCACACCCCAGATGCACCCTCGCACACATCACATTTGCAAACACGAGGGGGGGGGGACAAATCAGTCCACTGTTTGAGACACACACACACACACAAGCAGATAGAGTCCCGTTTTAGGTCACTAGATTCATCACATCAAACGGCGAGGAGTTGGAACGCTGTTGAAAGTGTGGGGGGGAAGATCTGTTTGGATTTCTCCTCCTCGAGTTTGTCGAGGGTTTATCGAGTAAATCTCTTTCTAAGAACAGTTGTCAAGGAAAACAAGCTTTCGTCCAGCCAGCCTAGGCGGCGACGTTCGTCGTAAAGAAAATCCAGACATAAAAAAAAACCAGTAGACCAGAGTGTTAGCGCTGTCTCTGCGCTTCAAAAAAAAAAAAAAAAAACCCGCCCAGAGAGGAAGAAAATCCTCTCGCGTGCACCGCCCAAAGTTGTTCCCGCCGTCTATAGGTTGATATCTTGGTTTGTCTCCGTCCCATCGCCGATACAAGCAAATCCGTGACACAGATGAGAAAGGACGGGTTTTGTAACGACCCGTTGACGTTCTCATACACACACACACACTCACAAAATCCCTATATCCATCACACACAAGAAAGAGAGGAGAAAAAAAGACACAAGAAAAATGAGTTTTGCTTTTCGTTGTTGTTGAGGGGTGAGGGTGCAGTCGTATTTCCGATCTCTGGTTGTTCGTCCATCGAGGTAGGAGTGAGTCTATAAGATTGAGTGTAGCCGCCACTGCAAAAGAGGAGCCCATCGAATTCTTTGGTTTGTTTGTTGTTTGGTGATTAGATAAAGAAGTCGTGGTCGGCCAACTCTGCCAATTCGAAAATACCCGGAAACGCCATTGTTCTTCTATCCCGTCTATTGCCCAGGTCGTCAGGTCATGCCACTTTAAGGTTGTCGTTCCCGTTACATCCGATCCATGAGGTCACCGCCGGCAACGCTGCCAGTGGTGGAACTCCTGCCGCTCTGGAAACCGTCGTTTCCGTCCAGAAGCTGGTGAACACCAATCTTGGGGACTGGCAGTTTTCTGCCGGCGTCAGGCCGGCTGATAATGTCTGCCAGAGAAGCACCGTTCCGAGTGGGGGTTCCGGCGCTGGTAGGCGCGGGAGGGGGAGGCAAGTAAGGAGTCTCCAGGTGAGGCTCGAGAGGAGCCAAAGCAGGAGGTGCCGCGTGCTGCAGGGAAAGATTACGGAGAGAAGGCAGCTCGTAGCCCATGGGACGAAGTCTCGGGGAGTGAGCGGGTGTAGCGATAGGGGTGTGGTCGGGAGTAGGCGACAAGGAGTCGTGGGAGAAGGTAGGGGAGGATGGTGCCGTGGAGTTGGGCGAGTTGGGGCGAGATCGCTTTGCGTGGCGAGAGCCAGCGTAGTGGTCATCGTTGTGCTCATCGTTGGAGTGCGATCTCGACATGTGGTAAGCCGAGAGAGAGGGGAGGTGGCCGCGCGAGTTGTGCAGGCTGTGGGAGTAGTAAGGGTGATGTCTGGCAGAAGAGCCGTGGAAAGGCGGTGCGGTGAGCGTCTCACGCTCAACCTGGTTCGCAGCCTTTGCCAGGATAGAGATGTCCATGTTGGACTGGCCCTGCATCTGGCGGCCAAAGGGGCTGCCGTGTCCCGGGTGAGCGGGCAAGACGTACTGAGAAAACGAATGCGGCGGCGAGACGTTGGGCGAGGACAAGCTCGAAGTAGGCGCAGAACGAATCGTCTTGGGTGCGGGAGGAGGAGCCATCATGCCATCCTGGGGCAAATGGGGCTGAGGACCAGAGTTGTACTGGTTCTTGCCTC